GAGCGCAGGCCCCTGGGGGAGCAGTCAGACAGGGTCCAGGCCTGGCTGGGCTGCTTGGAGTTACAGGTGGTGCCCTGGGAGTTGGCACCCGGAGAGCCAGTGGGAGAGTAGCTGGGTGGCAGGAACCCGCCCCAAAGAGAAGTGGAGCCATGGCTGGGTGAGAGCGTTCGGGGACTGCAGTCCCCCTGCTTGGCTCACACCCCCGAGTCTCACAGCGGAGAACTTAGCAGACACCGGTTCCATCGCTGGCCACAGCCAGGGATGGGGATGAATTGGATTGAAATTTCCCCTATTTGCAGGACCTACTCTGCAAACCCACAATGCAAGAGACACTTTGCCACCTTGTGGCCTTGCTGTGCCACTGCACAGCACACGGGATCCAAGCCCCCTTGCTTGGGAAACTCCTGATTAATGCTGTGATATTAATCACTCAGTGGTGCAACCTCCTCTGGAACTTGGTGGGCAGGGCTGGAAGGGACCAGGGAAGGGCAGCGAGGATGATCAGGGCCTGGAAAAACCCCTGGTGGAGAGAGATTGAAAGGCTGGGCTTGTTACCCTAGAGAGGAGACCAAGGAGAGGGATGTGATAAAAGTATATCAAATAATCGGTGGGACCCAGAAGGAAGGTCAGGGTGTCTGTTCTCCCTGTCTCTTCACACCACAACAAGGGGACATTTAACAGCTCTGGAAGGTGGGAAATTCTGAACTAATGGTTCTTCACACAGTGGGTAGTTAGCCTGTGGGACTCACTGCCACAGGATTTTGTTGCCGCCAAAAACAGCACGAGTCAAAGCCAGATTGGGCATTTATATGGAGACCAAGCCTAGCCAGAATGAGTGTGATGGGGCACCCTCTGCTCCCGTCTTCTTGGCTTCACACGCAGGCTGCTCAGGGACCTTCCTTCTGTAGCTCCCAGTGTCTGGTTTGTTTCCAGTACTTCGCCTCTCCACCTTTTCCGTACTTCTGTAGCCAGGCCGTTTCTGGAGCCATTAGGTGTAACTACCCCTTCTCCCAAGGCCTGGGGGTGGAAAGCTGTCTCTGCACACTGCTGGCTCCCTTTATCTGGCCCAGCTAGTCTTTCCCTTTGGGCGTCCTTCCTGTGCTCTGGGCCGGTGTGGGGTTGGGGCCAGAGGGAAGCCCTGGGCTGGCCTCGCTTGGCATGGCACTGGAGGCAGGGAAGATGGCTCTCTCGGCAGAACAAGGAGCTCCCGGTGTCACTCACTTTCCCTGGCCCCGAATCACCCGGCTGCCAGGGAAGAGAAATCAGCCGCTGACAGTGCGAGGGGAGCGACTGAGTGCCACCATGGCCAGCCACGGGGAGAGGGGGAGCAGCCACGGAGCCCATCCCCCCAGCTGGGTTTGTGCTCCACTGTTCCAAACCCCCTCAGCATCCCTGCAGGAGCCAGCGAAGGGCTCAGCCTGGCACAGCCATGCCCTGGTGGGGAGGACTCAGATCCAGGGCCCCCAGTCTGGGGGGCCAGGCCCCTCTGCCCTCCTTCGTGCCAGTCCCGAGCCAGCCTCCCACACCCACCGCCTGGTCTCAGCGCCTGCCCAAGGGGCAGGGCAGTGGGGATCCGCCCCTCAGGGAACGTAGCTGACACACTGGGATAGATGGTGATGAACACCCCAGCCTGGCGGATTCGCTGAAGGGCTCCCAGGTACTCCAGTGTCACTGCACTGAGCTGGTTGGGTGGGAAACCAAGGCAAAGTTTATTCACAAAGAGCAGAGATGTGAATGATACCAAGCCAGGACAGATGCGCCGGGGCTGGTCACCACCAAACCAAACCCCACCCGCTTTCTGGTGACGAAAACGTCATTGAAGCCAGTTACTCTTTGCTGAACCTGTTTTCTTACTCACATCAAGGTACCGGCATCTCCAGCCCTGCAGACAAGGCGACCCAACTTTCACAGGCTCGCAGGGTGCTGCATCCTGTGGTCCCTCGGTGCCGGATGCTTTTTGCTTCTGCTTGTATTTCCCAAACCTCACTGTTCTGTCCCAGAGGCAAGCTGACCCGCGGCTCTTCCATCCCCTCATGTTCATATGGATAAGGGCTTCCATTGCTTTGACTCCGTACTGCTCCGGTTCACTGGAGACAGGTCGACAGCCACCTTTCACCCTGCCTGGGGGAAGCCTGCGCTTCCCCATGTTTGGGCACCAACTTTAAAGCAGCCCACCAGTGAGCGACTGTAATTCTGCACATGGTGTTAACACATTTCACAAGGACATTCATCCCCGGTGCATCACCAGCTTTCACAAAAGCCCTGCCTCACTCCTCTCCTACTATACCTCTACCCGGATCCAATTGGCTGATTCAATTGGTGATTCTTTGTGGTTCCAGCCCTCTGTTCTCCCCCGGGATGGTTGTGTGATGTTGCACTCCATATGTTTTATGGAAATATGCTTATGAGTGTGAATATGATGTAACTGGAATATGCTTTCTGCAAAAGGTCTCTTGTAAGGTATCATAACAAAGGTTATAAACTACTGAATATATTCCTCCTATTTGTATGCATGTATCATTCTTGTATCTGAAGCTAGAAATATGAAGTATAACTCTGAGGTCCTATTGTAATTATGCAAAGTGTGGGCCATTAATGGTGGTTTAGAATCTTGATGACTCCCCTTGACTAGGGCAATTAGTTGTAAATGGTTTATTTACCTGCAAGCCTTCCTGAGTATGTGTGGGCCAACCCAGGAAGAATGGAGACTAGGGGGGTCTTACAGTGACATGTGACCTTGTCACATGATACAGGAATCCATCTTAATCCTTGTACTTTTCCACTGATGAGGCAGTGGTGGGCAAAAGCACAGACAAAAGTTTACCACCTTATGCCAAAGCTATAAAAGGGGGTGGAGAACGACAAAAGGGGCTGCCAGTCATGAGAAAACCCCTGCTTACCACCTGAGATGCCTGCTGGATCTAACAAAGACTGTACCAGGGGAAAGGATTGGGCCCAGATTAGGAAGGAGTCTAGTCTGTGAGAGAAGCTTATTGGAGCATCTCCGAGGGTGAGATTTACCTGTATTCAGTTTCTTAATGTATTAGGCTTAGACTTGCGTGTTTTGTTTTATTTTGCTTTGTGACTTACTTTGTTTTGGCTGTTATTACTTGAAACCACTTAAATCCTACTTTTTATACTTAAAAAAATCACTTTTGTTTATTAATAAACCCAGAGTAAGTGATTAATTACTTGTGGGGCAAACAGCTGTGCATATCTCTCTATCAGTGTTATAGAGTGTGGACAATTTACAAATTTACCCTGTATAAGCTTTATACAGAGTAAAACGGATTTATTTGGGGTTTGGATTCCATTGGGAGCTGGGTGTCTGGGTGCTGGAGGCAGGAAACCTGCTGAGCTGTTTTTAGTTAAAGTCTGCAGCTTTTGGGGCATGGCCCAAACCCTGGGTCTGTGTTGCAGCAGGCTAGCGTGTCTGGCTCAACAAGGCAGGGTTCTGGACTCCCAAGCTGGCAAGGAAAACGGGCTCAGAGGTAATTTCAGCACATCAGGCGACAGTCTCAAGCGGATCTCTGTGACCGAACCCATCACAGGCTGGGCCCTGATCGTCAGCCCCCCAATCCCTATCCCTGGAGATGCTGCTCCCCTGGGCGGTGGAGGGCAGGGCAGACGTTGGCGCTGGAAGATGGACCCACTCTGTCCCAGGGCCATGCTCTAGGGCATGGGAGGAGGGGGGATGGCTGCAGGGACTCAGGCAACCAGCCCTCTCCTGCAAACAGCAGGCTGGTGGGAGTGCTGTGTCCCTTGTTCCCGCATGGCCCCACAGCCACCCCAGGGGGGAGCACTGGGAGATGGCATCTGATGCCCCTAGGCTGGCTCCGTTCCCTGCGGCTTATCAGCAATGCTGCTGTGAGAAAGCCGGCAGCCCAAGGGGCTGGGGGTTAGATCCAGCTGGCTGGGGAGCATGACCCATGGCCAGCCACACAGCAGGATGGGGGGCTAGAGCAGATGCTGCAACTCCGCTGGTACGACTGCCTAGCACTGAGCAGATGCCCACGGAGGGGCTGGAAAATGTCTGAGAGCGAAGGCTTCACTGTCCTGGAAATACGCTGAGCAGAGCCTGGCTCAGCCCACCAGGGCAGAGCCTGCATGGATCCCACTGGGGTGGGGCCGGTGGGGGGGCTGGACGGTTCCCAGGGTGTACTGACACATGGCCAGAGCCTGCCAGGATCCCATGGCGAGTGGGCGGGCGGTGTCCAGGGTTTTACCAAAGCTATTATTTGGTTTTAACTGATTTTCATCTGAATTTTGGACCGCTCAAGTACATGGAAATAATGATTAGGTTAAGAAAATCCAACCCATCCCACTAGCAGACGCCTCTCTGTTAATAGTAAGTTAGTCGCAGTGTGAATGTGAGGCTGTCTGTTAAAGGAAGGCAACAGTGTGAAGGACAGACAGACAGACACACTCACCTGTGCATGTATAGCTGATGTACAGCTCACGACATAAACCACAGCATGGAAGGCCTGTCACTTCACCACTCGGACTGGGCTCGATTTTGCGCTCTTTCCCCATCCCCCCAAGCTCCCCCAGGATTAACCCTGATATTTACCCAGAAAACTAGGAAGTGGATTTGTTTGTCCTGATTTCCACCCGTTTGCAGTGTTTGGAACACACACTGATAAAGTCCCAGGAACTGTTCAACCAAATAAAGATGGGAACTGAAGGGCTTTGCCCAGAGGCTGGTCCGGCCCCAGCAGATAAGTAGCCAGGACGGCTCCCTGAATGCCAGCGCTGCAGCCAGCCCCGGAAGCTGGCACAGCACCCGCCAGCCCCGCCCTCCAGTCGGCAGCAGAAGCATTAGTTGTGGGGGTTGGCTGGGCTCCCGGGGGCTGCCTTGCTCCAGATAGGTTGGCTTTGCCTGTGGTGCCTGGGCCGCAGGGGGAGCATGTCTGAGCCTTGAGGCCAGGCCCTGGGCCAGCAGGTGGGGAGCTGCAGGCTGTTGCCATTCGCCCCAGGCTGCGGGCGAGGTGGGCGGGCACTCAGAACAGGCCTGTGGCACTGAGGGGCGTGACGAGGAGCGGGGTCTCCGTGGGCCCGAGGATTGGGGCTGTGTCGGACGTGGTTTCCTCGGCCTCGCTCTCCGCCTCGTCTGGGCTCTCGCTGATGGAGGGGATGATCCTCACCAGCTTCTCCTGGAAGTGCACCTGCTTGCCTGGGGCCAGGGTGGGCGGGGCTGGGGCGGGCTCGGCCGGCCAGCCAGCGCCCTTGTCCTTGCTGCCCTTCAGAATGCTCTTCATGTGGCCGAGCAGGGAGGCGTGCTGCTCTCGGCGCCCCCCGGGGAAGGTGAAGGTCTGCTCGGTGTCGCCACTGTCCGTGGAGGTGGCAGCCGTGGCACAGGGGTCCACATACTGCTCCAGTGGCCCCCGTGCCTCCCGGCGCACCGGGCTCTTCTTCCGCTTGCTCAGCAGGAAGTAGGCCAAGCCGGTCAGAACCAGCATGGAGCCTGGGAAAAGGCACCGGAGAGGAGACGAGACATGGCAAAGAGCTGGGGAGGGGTCGCCAGGAAAACC